ATCTAGTAACATGTTACTTAATTTCATGGCATTGTAAATTTCTGTTGTTCTTTCTATTGTTGGTTTCGTATTATAACTTTTCATTTAAGGGGATGTACAGTAGCTGTGAAATGGAGACTAACATCCAGATGTAAGGATACAATGTAGTATGCATTTCTACTTCCAGATAAAGATGGACTTACAATGAAACTGTTTACTATATCTTGACAATAGGATATTGACTCTCTGACATTGTCCATGCCTGCAATGATGGACATATAACTGTGCATGAAGAACTATATGTCAGTAATGACATAGAGGATCTAGGTGGGGGGAGGGAACTGGGGAGGGGATAAGGGAAATGCCAGGAGCCTATGGAACTGTATCATAAAATGATAATAATAATAAAATGTTTTTTAAAATTGTTAAAAAGAAAGAAAGACTGCAGGGGAGAAACAATGGGGTGGAGTGGCGATGGAAAACCCAATGCCTTTTGGGTTTATGTGTCATAAAATAAAGAATAAAAATAGGGAAAAAAGAGGAATATTTAATACTATGCTCTGAGCATAATAACTGATCAGCAATCACAAAGAATAATTTCTGACACCCCCCCTTACTACAACACTTTCTCCTGATAAGGGGAAGAAGGCCAAAGCCACACAGCTACAGTAAAACATTTGATGGAGAAGCCTCTCTTTGACTAGATGTCCAACCTTTTAAATAGAAGGCCTCAGAATTTAATTTCCAAATTCAGATTAAATAGTCTCCTACAAAAATTCAGCCTGTAAGCTAAGTGAGCTTCCAACAGAGGTGGCTTCCCAAGTGGATTTCATTGTAAAATTTCAGAAGAAGATTCAGTAAGCTTGCTTTGACAAATATGAGTTTAACATTTAATTATTTTTTTAAAGATCTATTTATTTTTATTGGAAAGGCAGATCAGATTTACAGATAGAAAAGGAGACAGGGAGGAAGATCCATCGGCTGGTTCACTCCCCAAATGGCTGCAAGGACCTGAGCTGAGCCAATGTGAAGCAATGAGCCAGGAGCTTCTTCTGGGGCTCCAGTATGGGTGCTGGGTCCCCAGATTTTGGGCCATTCTCTACTGCTTTCCCAGGCCATAAACAGGGGACGTTTATTAATAAAATGGGAGTAGCTCATGGTTTGGTAACAGATTTCAATGTATAAAGTACAAATGTCCAGAGCCTTGACAAAGCAAGACCCAACAGAAGGCATCGGCCTGTGTAGGAATTCACCTTTTCTTATATATCCAATGTTTCACTAAGGACATTCTGTGTTTTCTGCATTCAACTTTGCCACTGTGGTCACTTGTGGAGCAAACCAGTACATAGAAGATCTTTGTCTAACTCTCCTTCCCTCTGTGAATCGACCTTTTCATTAAAATAAATAAATCTTTAAATGCATATATAGCAATCAATAAAATGTAATAAATGTATGGTTTACTACAGTTCTTTAAAAGGTGTGAAACCTTATCACGTGATGATAAACTTTAAAGATACGACAGTAAGTGAAAGAAGGCAGTCACAAAAGGACTAATACTATACAAAAAACCCATATAAAGCATCTAAAAAGTGATCAGATTTACTTAGAAAATAGAATGGTGGCTACCAAGAGCCGGGAAAGGAGCTATCAGGTGGATAATCAGGCATGAATGAATGAATGAATATGGAGGCCATAAAACCCTCATTCAGGGGATGGAAAAGGGACCACGCGCTCTGCGAAAACCCACCCAAGAATGTCCACTTTGTGGTTTAAATTATGATTACTGTTCAAACGAAATGGGAACTCAGCGATACCACAAAAGCCTAGTTTATGGTACACATGCAGGGAGGTTCAGTTTAACATTAGGCGATCCTGCTTCATTACACAATCATTACTATATGATTAACTTTGTGATTTTTTTTTCCACTCATAAACATACAACTAGGCTTGTCCCACACACGCTGGGAACCCATGTCAATAAAAAAATGCAAGTGTCAACATCATAGTCACATCTCAAACACTGGATACATCATAGCAACAAACGTCTCAAACTAGGGAAAGCATCATGTTTCCTTTCAAACGGCCTATTTCTGCTTTAGAAATACTTTTACATTTTAAAATTTTTTTAAAGATTTATTTATTTTTATTACAAAGTCAGATATACAGAGAGGAAGAGAGACAGAAAAGAAGATCTTCCATTCGATGATTCACTCCCCAAGTGTGCGCAATGGCCAGTGCTGGGCTGATCTGGAGCCAGGAGCCAGGAACCTCCTCCAGGTCTCCCACACAGGTGCAGGATCCCAAGGCTTTAGGCCGTCCTCGACTGCTTTCCCAGGCCACAAGCAGGGAGCTGGATGGGAAGTGGAGCTTCCGGGATTAGAACCAATGCCTACAATGGGATCCTGGTGCATTCAAGGCAAGGACTTTAGCCACTAGGCCCTGAAACTACTTTAATAAACTTTGCTTTACTATGCCTGCTTTCATTTCTCTGGGTCTGATCCATTCCTCTATCGGTGAAAAAGAAAAAAATGAGAACCGAGACAAGCCAGCTGCAACTTTCCAGTAACAGAAGCAAGGGGAATTTACTTTTTATGATCTACAGAGTTTCAGCTTCACAAAACAGAAGTTCTGGGAATCTTTTTCACAACAATGTGAATATATTTAACACCACCATTCAACTATACACTTAAACACAGTTAAGGTGCTTTCACCTGTGTGTGTTTGTATGTAGAGATTCAAAGTAAAAATGCTTTGATAAAGAAGCAAACATCAAAAATAGGGGCAGGCATTTGGCCTAACTCATTGACCTAGCCACAGGCCACCTGTGCCCCATTTCAGAATGCTTGTGATAACACCCAGTTTTTACCCATAATTTCAACTTCCTGCCAGTGCAAACCCTGGGAGGCAGCAGGGGATGGCTTAGGTACTCGTGTCCCAGCTTTGACCTGGCCAAGTCCCAGACACTGCAGGCATTTGAAAAAGCAAACCAGTGGATAGGAATTCTGTTTCTATTACTGTCTATCTCTCCTTCTCAATCTCTCTCCCTTACTCTTCCTATATTGAAGACCTGATAAATAAGAAATAAAATGTTTATTCTGAAAAAAAATTTTAAGTAAAATACATGAAGTTTTCTGAAGAAGAGAAAAAAGAAATGAAAAGGAAGTACATACTTCCCTTTTGTGCAGAAAGTTTTCATTTGTGATATATACCAGGCATACCAATTCCACAGAAAGAGAATAAAGGTTTAAAATTTGTATATAATGACGTGAGCTTTATAAAAATCCAAATCAGACACTAAAACTAATTAGAAAAATCTACAAGGTGGAAGACTGATTTTTAGAATTTATTCGGTCATCTTCCCAGAGAAGACTCTGATTACAGAAAGCCAAAAAAGCAAACAGAAAAAAAAAAAACATGTAAGAATATAAATTAATTGACATGAGAGAAAGAAGACAGGCAGAAATGTAGGCAGAAAAAATGTTCAAAGACAATGTAAGAACATACTTAGTAATCCAATCATTTTTTTCTTTGGCTATAAGGACACAGTGAATACTCAGCACAATGAATATCAAAGAGCTTACACTATGTAATTCACTGAGAATATCAGAATACACATATGAATAATAGATCTTAAAAACTGGAATAGAAAAAATGCAAAGATAAAGAAAAGTGGCAGTAAATGCCTCAACTGCACCTCTGGAAACTAGACGATAACAAAGGAATATCATCAAACTTCCTTCCAAACTCAACTAATATTCTTAGAAACTATCAGTCAATCTCAACCTACAAAACCAGCATGCAGACATCTGCACACCCACAGAGACTGAGGGACACAAAACCGCTGGATTTCCGCTCATTCCTCCTAGCTCTATTCGCCATACGGCTTTACTGTGTTTAGAACTGCGCAATTTCCATTTTCAGCTCTTACCTCATTTTACTTTTAGGTACAACAGTATAATTTTTATCCTGCATAATCATGAATAGTATGCACAGTTGCTTTCCACATACTGCTCCCAATAAAATACAAAATCAAACTTAGGATATAACAATTCCAACAAAAATAATAACCTTTATTTTTATATAATAATAACTTACTTAAGACGTATTTTAGAAATAGTCACAAACATTCTGTGAAGTTGGATGTATGTTACTACCCCTTGTTGAAGGGTGAGAAAATGGAGGCTTCAAGAATTCCGAGTTTTCCAAAGGTGTCAGGGCCAAGGGCAGGGAGTACCCAGCTCCATGTCCCGGTGAGTGCTTCATTCAGGACTCCCCTCATGATGCCATGTGAGAGAAGTCGGTGAACAAGCTCTGTGCCAATTTCTCACTCTCCTTCCTGCACACGGAGGAAGAGAACCGTTTCCTTCGAATCTACCCAAAGTATTCTGTTATTGCTTCCCCCCACCCTAATGACAGCTCTGGAAGTCATTTCATCTCACTCTTGTTCCAGGGCATTCTTAAAGAGTGTTCCCAGATACGCCCTGCTTACATGTTCCGAGTAATGGCCAAAAGAAGTGCTAACTTACTCGTTAGCAAAAAAAAAAAAAAAAAAAAAAAAAAAAAGCCTTTTTTTTTTTAACCTAAACAAAGTGGGTAGACAATCAGACACCAGTGACTTCTCTCATATTCCCATAAACCAAGAAGGTAAAAAAAAAAATGCCTATGTTCAAAATGCCCCCTCTGGTTTATCGTTATAAAAAGCTGATCTCAAACATACAGTCAACCATTAGCAACCATTTAAAGCACATTGAGAGAAACATACAAGAATCATCTCTCTATCCCTCAAAATGTACTATTAAGAAAATATGCTTCAAAATTGTGTACACAAACACACAGATTGTCTCTTTCCTTTTCCAAGGCAGAGAGAGAAACAGGAAGTGGGTAGACACACATGCACTCATATTCACACCACACACACGCACACACTGAGTAAGGAGGTCAGTCTTCCCTGGAAAACATGCCAATTGCACGTTTTAAGCAGCACAAAGACAGACTTCCTGTGGACGCCTGTGGCCACTTACTCCACAGTATCGGTCATCGTTAAATATCTGCGGTGGCAGTGGGTTGCCCTGAGCAGGCATCTTCTCTGGGGAAACGTTTTTGTACATCCATTGCCTCTGCTCTTCTGACATGGTGATGTCCACCTCCTCAAACTCGATCTTGTTAGCTTCCAGGAATCTCACCACATCTTGCTGCTTCTTCTTTATCTAGAGAGAGAAGACAAACATGTTAGGAGGAATGTTCATCTGAAAACAATATGTACACACTTCCAGATGAAATACCATTTGATTTCTCACTGCTGGAGAAAGACATGGAAGAAATGAGATAGACACTGTCTCCTTGCTGGATGCAGAGTACAGGACTGGCAAAAGCCTCACACAGGCATGTATCAACCTACATTCCCCAGCCCTCTGAGACACAATCAGCCCAGAAAGATCTGCCACGTGAGCGATGCCCTAAGCTCTAAGTGGGTCATAACCACACTCCGCCCCTACCCCACAGTCCCAGGAAATTGATGTTTCCAGCCACGAAAGCTCCCTGTGCCCCACGTCATGCCAAAACCATGACTGCCCATCAGAAACATCAACTTTTCACTGATTTATGAAAGCAGCACATTTTCATTTCCCACAGCAGCCTCTTTCTGATATTCCACAGCTGTAACCATATCATGAAAGCATCCTTTCATCAATACACAAGAGGAAATGTTCTCTGCTTCTAAGGTGAGAATAAACCACCAGCTTCCTAGACTGTTTCTTAACCCTTCTTCTTCCTCTGCTTTGCCCACTTCCTTCTTCAGTCACTAGGGGTCAGAAGTGCCCTTTAGGAACTGTGCACGCCTGTGCAGGTCTTTTAAGTGTTACCTGCCTCCGGAATTGAACAGAACATGGAAGTGGAACTAATTTAAGCAGGATGACAAGATTCAACAACTTCAACAGCATGTAAAACACAAGAAAATAAACTTGCCCTTTCTAACTAATTTTGTGGAAAATCTGCATAAATAACAAACTGAAGTGAAGTAAGTACAACATACAGGCAGATCAACCAACCCTAACACCTCCCGTCACAGGAAATAAAATGCTTGAAGCACAAATTCTCATGTACTGATGGTCTCCATGAACCCCATCCCACAAAGCCTCTATCCTTGAAGCTGGAATTCTGGCACCTGCTATAAGCAAAGTGATTCTGACCACAGGACCATGGGGCTCGAGTCTACGGGTGGTAACAAAATGGTATACTTAAGCAAAAATACAGGTCTGGCACGATATGATATCAAATTCAACGCTATTTTAAGATCAGAAAATGTACAGTCATAAATCTAAATTTATGATGGGATTATTGGATGTCTTTATTCTCATTTCTGAAAAAGCTTTTCCCCATCACTAATACACAATTTCAGAAATAGGACTATAGTATTTGAAACTTCAACTAAAGAACAGGCACCATCACCGTACTTAATTTCCCTAAAAACCCTACAAGGGAAATATAACCGTTACTGTTTTACCGACAAGGAAACTGACTGAAGTAAAAAGGCAATACCTGGGCTTGCTTTCTTCTTCTTTTTCTTTTCTTTTCTTTTTCTTTCTTTTTTTTTTTTTTTTTGTCTTTTTTTAGTTAAGAGGCCAAGAGACAAAGGGAGTAAGAGAGGCAGAGAGAGAAGAGAGGAAGATCTCAACCAATGGTTCATCTCTCAAATACCCTCAACAGCTGGAAGTAGGAACACAGTCTCTGGTGGGTAGCATAGACCCAACCACTTCAGCCAGGGTGGGGCACCAACCAGGGTCTGCACCAGAAGGAAACCAGAGCAGGAGTTGGGATGGCCAGGAACCTGGTAACCTGCTATGGGACACAGGTGTTTTAATCACTGGGCTAAACACCTACCCAAGGTTACCAATCTTGAACAAAGTTTCACAGCTGCTGTGCGTGTTCCTGTGGAAATGATTATGTCATTTTCCTGTTTAAAATCCTTCTCATTACCCTTCAGAGAACATAAACACTTCTTAGCATAGCATTATCTCTTCATGACCAAGCTTCATTGATTATAAACACAGGTTATTTGCTTTTGTAAAAGTCTTAAAATCACAAAGCAAACAGTGCCCTGCAATTCTGTTACTCAGGCAACCATTGTTGACAAACAAGGTCTAGACTTTCTCGTTATACAGAGCTCTATAGAACCAATGCATTTCAAATGTCCAGGATAATGATAAAAATGAAACTAAGACATACTCAATCTTTGTCAATATAAATGTACATTTATGTACACACACACCTGAAACTCCTCATTCTTAATACTGGGATACAGTAGACACACATACAGCTTCCTTACTTCTCAAACCCCTGTCTTATACATACAGACACACAGACATGCATACCCCACATACATATATTGCTGGACTGTAATTACCTTCCTTTCACAACTGATAAAAATAATTGTATTTTTGTCTTGTCATTTAACTATGCATCATGATTACTGTCCTAATTAAGCATTTTTTAAAAGCACCAACTTTATTATGTCTAAAAATTCCATCAAGTAGACAGATGCACAGTTAACTACAACTCTGCCATTGAAGTTTTAGCATGTCTGTGAGTTTCATCACCAGATGTGGTACTGTGTAAAATATATCTGTCTTAGGCCAGACAGCTTACTTCAGCAAAACACCATAAATCAGGCAGGTTATAAACAAGAGAAAAGGACTTCTCCACAGTTCAGGAAGCTTGGATGGCCAAGGTCTAGGTGCTGACAGATTCAGCATCTGTTGAGAGCTTGTATCCTGGCTCTCACAGACAGAAAAGGCAGCTCTGGAAACTCACACAGGAGCTAGTCCCAACTCACAAGGGCTGTTCCTCATGACTGAATCAAGTGCCAACAGCCCACCTCTTACACCCACCACACTGGTGATCAGGTTTCAACATATGAGTGGTAGTGGTGGGGGGGTGCTATTCTCATCCTCAGTTAATCTTGCTCTCTCTTTTGGGTTTTTCAAACACACCCTGAGCCCTCAAACTTCTTACCTCACTCTTCCTCTAACCCAATGTGACTTGCAAGCATTCAATGCAGGAAAATCCACCTCTCTTACTCGGCTTCGTCCATATGCTGAACTTCAATTACTTGCCCTCTCCTTCCTTCCCACCAGCAGCAGGCACACTGCTCTTCTTGCTCTCCCCTCTCATATCTTTTGTAATTGCTCTTTCTGTGTTAAACCAGCTTACTCCCTGAAGCTGCAACTTCCTGGGCTTAAGTACCAAAATCTTAGGTTCAGAGGATGATTGAAAGCAAGAGTGAGAGAAAGAGAGAGAAGTTTGTGCATGCTTGGGGTACTCATCTTGGCAGGTGCTAACCTTCTTCACTGAGACAAAGTTAGGGTGATTCCACATTCCAAACATTTCTGGTGGGAGTGTTGGTTTGACTTCTGCAGGGTGGTGGAGTCAATTCTGCTCTGCCCAACCTAACAATTTACCCCACAGCAACATCTCTATTGATCAACCTTGACTGTGTCTCTCAATACTATTTCAAGTCCAAGCAGGTTGAATGAAGCCCAGGTATCTCAGGGTGTGCTCAACTTTCAGGTTCTTGAAGGACCCTAAGCTAAGCTGTGCTCGTTGTATCCATACAAATTCCTACTCCCAACCCAGAGTGTCCAGGTGCCAGTAGCCCTCTCAAGAGGACTACTGTTTGAAAGCTGTACATAAAAATTAATCTTAGGAAACTAAAATTCAAGTATATCATTAAGACCAATTATGTTAATGTGCTCAGGAAGCAAAGGATAGCTTCTTATTAGCAGAGATGATGAGTGACATATCATTAAGGACTGAAATGTAAGCAATAATATCTCCATTGCAAAAAGAGGGAGGCATGGAAAGCCGACCCAGGCTTGTATCTCAAAGGTATCACTTAACACTATACAGCTTAACAAGAAAAGGGGAAAAGCTCCATATGTCCTGGTGATACCATCAGGGAAAAAATCTCCTAGGTATTAGGAGGAAAAATATGAGAAAAATGAAAATGTATTTATTTATATTCTTTTAAGAAAAGATTTATTTTTATTGGAGGGTAGATTTCCAGAGATAAGGAGAGACAGAAACATCTTCCATCCATTGGTTCATTACCCATGTAGCCACAATGGCATAGCTGAGCCAATCCGAAGCCAGGAGCCAGGAGCCTCTTCCATGTCTCCTACATGAGTGCAGGGTCCCAAGGCTTTGGGTCGTCCTCAACTGCTTTCCCAGGCCACGAGCAGGGAGCTGGATAAAGACTAGAGCAGCCAGGACTATAACCAATGTCCATATGGGATCCCAGCAGATGCAAGCCAAAGATTTAGCCACTAGGCTTCCATGCTGGGCCCTATGTTTCAAAAAGAACCTCTTGAAAGTCATGTCACAAACTATAAGAATGTTTCTAAGGAGCTAGGGTAGGAAAAATTGGGTAAAGGGAAGACATGGAATTCAGATTATATTTCTGACAAAAAACGACAACAGAAAAATAAAAATAAGGCAGCAGCAACTAAAACCCAGATAATTAACTAATGCTACAGCCAATCTCCCCAATAAACAAAGACAAAAGAAATTTAACCCAGAGAAGACAGTTTTCAAGGTAGTATTTGTAACATTAGCATCCGGAAGGAAGATGAGTCACACCACCACGGGTTGTTATTAATATCCAAAGGAGCCAATGAGGCCTGGGATTGTGAGGACTTGGGGCCTGAGGCAGCTCAGGAGGCGGGACCAGGAAGAAGGCATCCAATGGTGGGTCGGCCCACAGGTAATGGAAAGACTTCCTCTGTGGTAACAGGAAGCTTTGACAGGGACTTGGTGTGCTGGCCCTAATCCCAGAATAGGAAAAACAACAACGTACATAATCATTTCCTTCAGCACAGAGTTCTGTTCTCTCCTTGTTTCAATTTTTTCAAAACAGAACGCACCTTTTCACTAAGATTTTACTAAGGAGATTCAAGAGAATTAGTCAGCTGGTGGAAGGGTCTCAGCTTCCCCCACATTCATGCTTCCACAGTTGAAATGTAGGTGTAAGGGGTATGTTTCTGTATTTAAACACATTTAGAAGCCACAACAGACAATTTCTAATTATTTACCTAGTAACCAATCTCCTTTTCTTCATAAGCTAAGTCTGGCTTTGTTTAGGAGAGTATTATGCTTAGCTACAAAACTTTATCTCAAATGTCTTTGCAGTTAGCGTGATCCCATGACACAGTTT